AATCTGGTGTAGCGTTACCTTCCAACAATTAACGTTCTGACATCAAAGCCAGCGCGCAGCTGCCTGTAAACCATCCTCAGTCCCAGAAACGCAGGGACGCCAGCACAGATTTTATCCAGCCCCTCTCTTCAGCTTCAAAAACCACACACAGGCAAAGCATTAATGGGAAGATTCTTTTACAGAAATGGACCTTTGATGTTTAAAAATAATTTGTTTTGTTTTGGGTTTTTTCCTCGGGACTGAAAAGGGACAAAAAGCAGATGCCATGTGGCCAGCCCTGCTCTGCTGCTGGTGCGGAGGGAAGGCGAGCAGGGGATGGCAGGAATGGAGGAGGGAACAAAATGTAATCAATCAGCAGCAAAAGCACCAGAGATCAAAGGGCTTGAAAGCAGCAGTCAAAAATCACATGCTGTTTAACACACAGGCTGACCCCCGCCCCCCCCAGAATCTGCAGCTGCTTCCAAAGCCGCTCCCAAACTGGAAGGGAGACCGGCTCCAGGAGTCCTGAGCGGCCTGAGCCAACGGCAGTGCCAGGGCAGTCCCTGTGCCACCGCGGAGCCGTGCCACAGCGCAGCTTCGCCGCAGCTGCGCCCAGCAAAACGACAGCCCGTCCTGCCTCTCCAGCCGCACGCAAGTGTGGGCACAGGGCTGGTAAAGAACGCTCCCCCCAGCCTCGCGCTGCTCCTGCCTTCCCCTTCACACGCAGCCCAAGCTGCCCCTTTCCCAAGCCCCCGGCTGCGTGACCGGAGCAAGCGACGGGGGAGCGCGCAGAACAGCAGGCCCCATCCAGCTCTCCACACGTAGGGGCTGTTCCCAAGGGTTAAGGAACATGGATCAGACAGACCCAAAGTGTTTCCAGTACTGAAAGATCCCCGCTGGCAGCGGGGTAACTGCAACCGCTCCGGGGTCCCTCCAGGCTCAGGGAGAACGGACTGCGAGCACGTCAACCAAGGTGGAGTCTCCCCACCAACGTGGCAGCCTACGCAGAGGCTTGCTAAATTCCTCCTGGAGTGAGCTCCCTTTGACCCTCCCCAACACCCCTCCTCACTACTTACGGCTTGTTTGATCCCAGGGATGGATCAGAACCAGAGATGACAACAAAACTCCAGCCCAAGGAGGTACTAACGAGCGGGAAGCAACGAAGGGGATCTCTGAACGCTAAAGCCAGCCCTAGCGATGCCCTGGGCAGCGAAGGGGCAAGGGAATGAGCACCACCGGGAATACGGGATGTGAAACTCCAGTGCACAAGGATGTGGAGTAAGTGATGAAGTTAATGCCTCCGCGCTTGGCTTCACACCGCTGCAGGCACACCCAACCGCACTGAAGGCATTCGGCTTCATGGAGCCGCCCTATGGAGAGCGCGCTGAAAGCACTCCAACGCCACCCTCGAGCCACCAGCTCTGGCACCTCCACATGGGCTAAGGCATGTGAACAATACAGTTTCACCCCAGAGACACCAACAGTGAGGACAGACGAGCCATCTGTCTTTCTGGGAGAAGGGTTAGAGAGAGGCAGGCTGCGGGATTTCAGCACAAGAGGGAAGACACTGTTACATGCCAGCGGGTACAGAGAAGGAAAATATGGCAGGGCTCTGCTTCATCTCCAACCCTAGGAAGATTAACTCACCGAAGGGATAGGACTGGGCTGAAAGGAGAAGAGGTCCAGACCTGGCTCTTTCCAACATCCAGCTCCTGGCAAGCGACATCAGCTGCAGGTGAAAAACTCCTTTCCTAGATCTACACCCCTTGTGTTCCGCCAGACGTGCCACCACACCAGCCAAACCGAGTCAGAGGGAGCCTCGAGGATACCTCAAGGTTCAGAGCTCTGCTTGCCCCTGGGCAGGAAATTCAATCCCCATCCTTCCTCTTTCCTACAGCGAACTGTCCAAAATGCAACACCTGCTTAGCGAACGCTTGGCAGAACCGGATGTGGCCAGGCCCATAACCCTGGATGATGGGGAAAGGATCTTAAATACAGAAACACCCTTTTCCTCGCAGGAGTTCAGCCTCAGGCAGGACAGGATAAAAAACACCCTCCTTGCCAACAGATTTTCCTTACCTGTCCTTGCTCCTTCTGCAGTTCTTGGCTGTTCTTGGACTTCTTTGGCTTAGAAGGGCCTCCGGGGCTGGAAAAGGTTGTTGGCAGCTTTGAAGAGGGCGTATCGAGCCCAGGAGATGGTGCAGCTACGGAAGAGCCCCCCAGACGCTGTCCGTCTCCAAAAAAAGGGACAAACGGGACAGACTCAGGCACCGAGGAAGGCCACGGCTCCTCCAAGCTGGCTTGAGATTCTCCGATCGCGTCTTGCTTGTCTGTGCAGCTGCTGGAAGACACGGCCACATCCCTGTGGTCCAAGTCCTTCGGGAATGTGTTTGCTTGAGGTAGGGGCACATCCACTGCTCCTCCAGTAAAGCTGGGCGTCGCTGCCAGCTCCTCACACTGTACGACGGTGCCCGCAGCTTCCTCCTGGCCAGGCGAGCTGCATTTCTTCATGACAACTCTAACAGACACCAAAGGGAACAAACCCAAACCAATTTACTCTACCAGCACTGCCCGCCCGGTTCCCAACACAGCCCTGACACACCAAAGGCAGCTGGACCCAAATCTCGCCCCGATTTAGTGATCTGCTTCTCCAGACATGCCCACAGAACAGGCCCCAGTCGCTCTGGAGAGAGGGGTGGGGGGCTTTGTGCAGGAACGAGACCAGGAGCCACCCACTGCAGGGGAAGAAAACCGCCCCCCGGGGGAGCACAGCAGGCTT